CTTCACCAAGGTCAACGAGTCGCTGCTCGACCGCAAGATGGAGGAGATGCTCGACTTCTTCAAGTCATTGGACAATGTTGTAACAGACATGTTGCAGCACGTCGACTGCCCGGTCATCATGGACTTGCTGTTGAAGATCATCAGCCTTGAGAAGAGCGAGGGCGGACAGGGCATTGTTGACGTAAGTCGTCACATACACGCTTGCTGGCATAACTAACAGACTCCAGTGGCTGCAACAACAGAACCTCGTTCCCCGCCTGATATCGTTCCTCGCCCCCGATCAGTCGACTTCCACACAAACGTCAGCTGGCGACTTCCTCAAGGCTATTATCACGATATCCGCAAACGCTACCACGCAAGACCAGTCCGTCATCGGGCCTAACGAGCTTACGCGCCAGCTTGTCTCCGAACAATGTCTGAAACAGCTGATCGACTTTATGCTGCAAGGCGGCAACCCGCTGACAGTCGGTGTGGGTATCATCATCGAGGTTATCAGAAAGAACAACTCCGACTATGATTTGGAGAATCAGATTGGGCCGGTACCCAAGAACTCAGACCCCATCTACCTGGGAACACTGCTTCGCCAATTCGCCAACCACATCCCGCAGTTCATGGAGCTGGTTAATAGCTCAAGCCAGATCGTGACACAGCGCGATGGCAGCACTACAAAGAAAAAGCGAGAGCTAAAGACAGCCTTTGGCGAGAAGATCGAACCGCTTGGATTTGATCGGTTCAAGACTTGTGAGCTGATGGCCGAGTTGCTGCACTGCAGTAACATGGCTCTGCTCAACGAACGGGGCAGCGAGGCTGAAGTCAGGAGGCGAGATGCCGAGCGGGAACGTCTCAAGGCTGACGGCAAATTGACTTCAGCGATTTCCGGCAACCCAGGCGATTTCTCCACCAGTGTGGATAGCCAAGGCTTCCACCATGCGCGTGCCCCATCTATGGACTCTCCTGCAGAGATTAAACCTCTGCATGTACAGAACAGCTCGGAAGACGACTTTGAAAAGGTTGTCGCGCCAGAAGTCGCTGTCGAGGAGGCCAAAGACACGGCAACGGAGAAAGAGCAGATTGGAGAGCCATTGGAGCCCTCGCCGAAGCTGCCACCGAGAGATGCGCCACAGGAATCGTCCGCTGCCAAGGCGGTAGGCGATGACGGCGAGTTTGTTGACGAGCCTTTGACACCACCCAAAGACGCTGCAGCAACTGCTGAGAAGCCTGCATCTCCACCTAAGCCTGCAGATGATGCCGAGTCACCTACATCAGCCGGCCTGAGTGCCAAGGTCGATGAGCTTGAACTGGATACCGACACCGTTATGAACGACCGCCAGGAACCGACAGAGCTTGCGAAGACCGAGAAGTCGGATACCGATGTCAAGACTCCGCCATCGCTTCTCACACAGCAGCTCAACCAGACCTCGGATACCACCACTGCTGAACAGTCCGAGAGTCTTTCACCTCATCCAGACGACAAACCAGCGCCACTATTTGCGGGTAAGAACCGCAAAAGTGAAGCCGAACCAGCCAGCATCGACACCTCGCGCTTCACCGCACCAGTAGCAGGATCAGATCTTTCGGAGATAACTCCTATCGACGAGTCTCAGAGCGTGCGTTCGGTGGTATTCGGCAATGCGGAGGATGCTGCAGGCTTCGAGATCGACATTGACGGTACGCCTGTTGTTGGCGACTTGCTGAAGATCACATTCGTTGAGAACAAAGTAGTACCAACGATACTTGTAAGCACCTTCGATATCTTCCAGCACAATATGCTAATATTTGCAGGACTTCTTCTTCCGCTTCCCATGGAACAACTTTCTACACAATGTAGTATACGATGTTGTTCAGCAAGTGTTCAACGGGCAGATGGACCGTGGATACAACCGTCAGCTAGCGATTGACCTCTTTGACAACGGAGGCATTACCGAGCGCATTATCAAAGGACAGCAGGAGAGCGACAAATCGCACCAAGAAACGTCCATGCGACTAGGATACATGGGTCACCTCACCCTGATCGCAGAAGAGGTGTTGAAGTTCACAGAGCGACATACCGACGAAGTCCTGTCGCAGATGGTCTTAGAGAAGGTCCATGCTCAAGAGTGGGTGTACTATGTGGAGCATATTCTGGCTGAGACGCGAGAGCGCGACAACGCCATTCTCGGAGGCGTACGACCCGACATGAGCGTCGGGCCCAGACAAGCTGTGCTCAATGCTGTGAACGCAGCAAACAACAACTTTGGAGGCGACAGTGGCGGGCTCTCCAATGCAAGCCTCGCCAACAACGGCAACATAGGCCTCGACAGCATGGAGCTCACCAATGCTGGTGACACTGAGGGTGGTGGGTACACCTTCAGCGGAGGCTCCTTGCTTAGTGGCTTTACTAACTCGAGTGACGAAGAAGACGAAGACATGGACGATGTCGACACCGAGAGAGAGCGGGAACAACGACAGGGACCTGTCGACGACTCCGAACAAGTGGGTGAAATCTCATTTGACGATGCTGATATGGACTATCGATAAGTCCATGGCCCCGAGCATACACACTATACCACGAATGTTTCCCGCCCTTGGTGCGTTTCCTTTTCTTATACTTGTTTGTATCATGAGCGGGAACGGACAGACGGCTCGCATGCTAGATCTATGGGCCTATCATCATCCTTTCTGTACATACATTCCTTGCGCCATCCGACAGGGTGTATGATACATGTAGTAATACGCATCGTGAGATGTGGTTTCCTCTCATCTCCTTTGTGTGATGTACCACTGGATGATTGGGCTTCATTGATCTGGTATGGTGTCCTCTTTCCTCGTCGCTTCCATCTGCTTGTCTCCCCTTTGTTTACCCTTTCTCTGTAAATTCCGAATTGCTCGCGTTCCATCTCCGCCCTAAACTGTCGCCCTATACTGCCATTGAACAGCTCCACTAACACCCTCTTCCAGCCCAGCATCCCACCGCCCCTCCAGATCCCCCCTTCGCGCGCCCGCCGTCAATTCGCCCTCCGCCTCGCCCAACGCAAAGCGCAGCTCGAATCAACGCGCGAAGCAGAAGAAGACCCAGATGATCCTTCCGCACCGAAAACCCAAGAACAAGAAGAACGCGAAGGACACCAGCGCTTCGCACGTATGTTCGAAGGCATCGAAGACTCTTCCGACGACGACAGTCTGCACAGTATCGAAGGTATGGGAGAGGACGAGGAGAGCATACTAGGCCGCATTGAAGTTGAGGGCCAGGAGGTGGGCAGGCGGAGTCCAATCAAAGTGGCTAGTCCCGAGAAGGTGAGCAGTCCGGAGTTGGAGAGGGGTCCGAGTGGTGGGGAGGGTAAGGAGGAGGAGAAAAGGGTTGTGGTTTAGTATGTTGTTGTTTATGAGTATGGTTGGTGGGTAAGGCGCGGGCTTCATCAGCGGTATCGTTGATGTGTTGTTCGATGTCGCTGTTGATGGGCATTGCGAGAATTCATGTAGGTTTGCGCGATGGATTGGCACGATGTATGTAGTAATGCATGGTTATGAGATACCCCCTTCGATCTATCTCTTGGGATATTGTACTTTACGTTGAGCTTGAGCCCTCAATATAGCCGCAACATGATGATGCCGTTGGAAAGGTTTCTAATTGATCTCGCATTGTGTCAAAGACGAGCCAGGTACGACATTGGCGAACAGTACCTTCCCATTGAGACGCTCACGTCATGTGACTTGGCGACACGCTAAGTAGATCCTTAGCGCGTCCGCCATCCACCCTTCCCTACCATCAACACCTGCGGACTCCAAACCCACAACCACACCACCCACTATGTCCTCCCAACCCGCTCCTCCCCGCCCTTCAAACGACCACCGCCGCACCTCCGGCGCCCCAAAACGCCAATCCATCCTCCCAAAACCCTCCTCCATCTTCCTCGACACCACCGTCCTCATCGCGCAGCACGCGCAAATCACCGGCACGCACCCCGTTACAATCGGTCCTAATACCGTCCTCCACCCTCATAGCAAACTCAGCAGCGCAGTTGCACCTGTTGTCCTCGGTGAGGGCTGTGTGGTTTTTGAACGCGCGAAAGTGGGTGTTGGTATGGGTGCTGAGGGTGATGCGGAGGGGAAGAGGGGCAGTATGGCACCTCCTGCAAGGGGGAGTGGGAGTGTGAGGGAATCTATGCGCAGTGAAGGAACGGTGCTGGGTAGGAATGTGGTTGTTGATTCTGGGGCTGTGGTTGAGGCGGCGGAGGTGGGTGAGGGGAGTGTGGTTGAGGTTGGGGCTGTGCTGGGGAGGGGGAGTATTATTGGGAGGGTATGTCAAACACGTCCTTTCTTTGCGTTGAAGGGAAGGATTATTGGGGCTAACATGTTTGTAGTACTGCACTATATCGGCTTCTTCCGTTATACCGCCTTATACCCGCTTGCCAGATTATACGGTCGTGTATAGTGGGAACCAGCAAAGGGTGGATCGGACGCTGCAATTGAGACCGGAAATCCTGGAACAGAAGATGGCGGTGCATGCGAAGCAGCTGGATATGTTTAAGAAGCTTATTCCCAATAATATTGCGAAATGGTCTTGAGGGGAAGACGTACTCGGGTCTTCGCGCCATCCTTCGGATTCCAGACGGGACGAGCTTCGATACAACGACTACGACGATGTATCTGCACAACCCTCGGCTTACAGCGATTCCAAGAGGTGGAATATCGGTATGGGCAGTGAAAGTAAGCGATTTCCACGAGACTCGGTGCTGGTTGCCTTGTGAAAGCTATGGATAGTCATAGCAGAAGCAATGGCAGCAGTGAAAGTAAGGTATTCCTACGGGACTCGGCGCTGGCTGCCTTGTGAAAGCTTTGGAAAGCCATAGCAGAAGCAATGGCAGCAGTCTTTCACCGAACAGTGGGCCCTCTAGGACTATCCCCCGATTGTATATGTACGAAGCACCTCCACCGTTCACGACAAGAACCACCACACCATTTAGCTCTACCGCCATTCGCATTCAACCATATCAGCACCAGCACCAGCATTGCGACCAACAATGCCTCTCTACGCCTCCAAATCAGCCTTCCTCGCTTCGGACATGAAGGCATGTCCCATGCCGCCCTCCGACCCCTCCTGCCCTATCTGCCGCGAAGACCTCCAGCCTCACGAGCCAGAAGCCCCATCTACAGGTCCCACAGTCGACGACGTTCAAGGCGGTACTCCCACCTCAAACAGCTCCGCCGCTGACACCATTGCCGCCAACAGCGCACCCGCTGAACCAAACGAAGATCACTCCCCCGTCAAGGTCACCTGCTGCAACAACATCTTCGGCCGCAGCTGTCTAGAAGCCTGGCTCACCCGGGCAAACAGCTGTCCATTCTGCCGCGCCGAGTTCTTCCCCTTGCGGACTGTACCAACCGGAAGGAGATTCGACTGGTTTGCTCGGGCCATGTTGGCACATGGAGCTCGAACCGGAACGGGGTTGGAGGCAGCGAGGGCTGGATACACAGAAGGCATGCAGGCGGCGCATGCTCGATACACAGAGATGATGGATCGCACTACACTCACACACGCAGGAAACCTGCGTGCACAAATGATGTTGGAGCAGACAGTGCTACAGCGTACGTTTCAGGCTCTGCAGCAGGCGGGTCCGGATGTGGAATTGGCGGACCAGGATGACGCCGAGGATGAGTCTGAGTTGTCCTCTGAGTACGAGTCGGAAGATGAGTCTGATTCAATGCCCGAGCTAGAGCCGTTGGACGAAATGGAAGGGTACCACTCGGAGTCAGAGTCTGTTCCGAGTGAAGAAGAGGATGACGACTCTGAGTTTGAGGTTGAAGATGAGGATGGTGGTGATGAGGATGAAGGGGGCGATGGACCCCCGGAGGGACCGGGATCTGGAGGCGCGGTTTGTGTTGAGTGCGCTCATACAGGTGCTTCAGTGCGAGCCTAGAGTGGCGTCGCTGGAATAACGAGTGTAAAAGAAGGTCTCGATAGGCCGGAAAAGATGATGTATTCATTTTCCCTGGTTGCATTACTTATAGTCATCCATGAAAACTCATGTCGAAGTAGCACTTCCTTCAACTATTACAAGCCCAGCATCTATTGAACTCATCCCCTGACTGTGCACGTCTACCTCTACCAACATACGTGTCCGGCTATGACCAGTTGGGATAGCTTGAAACATCGTGGTATCCAACGATCCAACAGCTGGTCATAGCCGGATACGTACGTTGGTAGAGATAGACGTACCTATCAGACTATACCACATCTCCCACAATCACCGTCCTAACCCTACGCCATCCCAACTTATTGCCACCGAAACGCATCCCCCGGAATAAAGAAATTCGCATCCTCAAACGTGATAACGCGGTCCATATCCAGAAAATGACTATCCATAAACGCATCCGATAGATTGAGCAGAGACTGGTCTTGAGTGCTGTGTTGGTTCCCCGTCGTACCAGTATTACCGTACGGAGCGAGCGATGGGCCAGACACCGGGACTCCGTTTCCGGGCTGTTGATACTGCTGTAATGGGGTATGGCTTGGGTAACTAGCTGATACTTGCGGTGACGTGTATATGGGAGGCGGCGGCTGTCCGGATGGTGATATCGCGTGTGTGGATGGGAGGCGCGGGTGGTGTTGCTCGTATTTGCTGGGAGAGGGCATGGTCGTGTTCCGGGTTATGTCTGGAGGCGGGATGCGTCGCGGACTTAGGGTTGAGTGTGAACTTGTGAAGCTGTTGGTACGTCCGTGGTTCCTCATTAGAGAACGTTCATGCGCGAGGCTTCTGGAACGCGCTTGTGGTGTTGCGGCGTAAGTTGGACTCGCGTAGTTTTGTGGGTCGAGGGTCAGGCCGTTGTGGTCGTAGAAGTCGAAGCGGAAGTTTGTGTCGTTTTGACAGGCTTCGAGGAGTCGTTTGAGGTGGGTTGCGTATATAGCTGCTTGGTTGTTTGGTTTCGGGTCGTCTGTGCCTTTCCCTTTCCATCTTGCGGCCATTTCCTCGAGATTGTGGATTAGACGGTGGAATTCTGATCGCAGAGGTTTGCGGGTGGCTTGGTGTTCGAATAGTAGTGCTTTGGCGGCGATGAAGGCACAGAATGAGAATTGGACGTTGACGAAGGGTATGGGCGTATGGGTGAGAAATTTGTCGACGATGTTTGAAGTTTCTACTGCGGCAAGCTCGCACGTCTGGGCACTGCATTCTTTTGGTAGTGCGACGAAGTCATTCCATCCGCGGGGTGGGTATCCGATTGGGTGATGCAGTAATATCATCGAGGTATTATGAGTAATGTGTGCTAGTGTTAGATTAGGATCCATGTCGACCACAGTCCTGTCTGATGAGATATTGGAGTCCTTCCATCTAGGAGGTAGGAAGATCTTCCACTGCACAAGTCTCAAGTCCAGCTCCTTGAAGCGTGTCAGCCAACTGACTGCATGCTCCTTGTCTTGCCAGTTGATCCTTTGTTGAAGGAAGAATGTCGTCACTTGACTCAAGCTCTCGGTTGCTTCGACACAATATGCGAATGCGCCTAGCTTGGAAGCATCGATGTAGCCGTTGGCGGAATTTGGGCTGGCTCCTGGCGGCAAGTGGTCGACTCCTGGGTCCTCTTCGTTATATTGTGCGGGCACATTTGCTAGTGAGCGTCCAATGCGAGCAGCGGCTTTGTTCCAGATGCCGAAGTAGGGTGTGGTGACCGGCTCCTCCCTCGTGAAGAAGCCGCCGTCTGCCGGTAACCGACGGTGCACGTCATCTGCTGTGAGACTGGTGTTCCATCCTGTAGACACCGAACAATATCGATCGAGCAGAAATATGATCCAGAACAATCTTCGTCGCTCTTCCAACTCTGTCCAGTCGTTTGAAGGCTTAACCAACCGCACAGGCGTCATTAGTGATCCCGACTGCGACGTTGATGGCTCAGTAGTAAGTTGGAGGTAGTCTATAGTCCTTGTGAGCGACCCGATCAGCGGCCATGCTCTTTGTGTTTGACCGTCATTGAGAAGATCAAAAACTAGGAAGATGAGGGCCTGCAAGCTTTCGATGGTGACATTGCGCATCGCATGCGTTTCGACGATCATCCGGGAGACCCTCGTCTGCTGAAGGATCTGATCAGTGTCCAGATACAGTACGTTGGGGTCCATGTGTCGCAGAGCAACGGCGACCAGAGCATGAAGGACCAACACATGGCCTGGGTCTTGACATCCTTGGCGCACTCGCGTTTGGAGTCTCGCCTTATGAATATATGGGATCCAATGATGGAATGAGATACAGAAGAAGTCTGCGACCTTCTCGAGCAATGGTTGAGATGGCAAATGCTGCGCGATATCAATATCTTCGAAGGGGAAAAGCCAACTCTCAGCAATTGGCATCTCGAATCTTCTTTTCAGCGGATTGGACACGCCGTTCTCTTCTTCGGAAGCTCTGGAGCCATCTTCTGCGGTTTGGTGGTTGTGGCTATAATCGGGAGTAGGCGCGACATACGGCGCGTGTTCTTCGACACGAGGTGCGCGTTCTTTTACAGCACTCGGGCTTTCATGCGCGACGGCATGGCCATTCGCCGTGGTATCATCGTCTCTATACCGTGGCCGAATGTTTCCCGCATCATCTAGCAGTATCCTCTCAAGAAAAGCTACGGAGCGTAAGATTGAGTTCATCGTAGAAGGAGCACCACATACCGACGCGGCGGGTCAACGCCTCAACAGCTCCGGGCTTAAGCCCAGGTTTGTTCTTTGGCTGATAAACACATTCAGAGGCTATGGCACATTAGCGACGCAAGATAGCGACGCGGAATAGCGCCAATTGACAGAATAACTCACACAGCCTCAAGCAATGCGAGCACGAGGGTGTCTCGCGCGAGCATCGCAGCTTGCGTTGCTTGCAGCTAACGCACGCGGGCGTGTCACCGCCCACCGAGACGGGACCGTCGTCCTCGCCTGCCTGGCTACCATTGCCAACCGAGTAATTGGTCCACCCAGCCGACATCAGCACGACATCGCAAAAGCGCTGATCAAGAAGAAGCAAATGTGGAGGATGCAGCGAGCGGCGGGCATCGGGATAAATCGATAATTACTCCACACGCGGGCCCCGCGCGGTCTAACCCTCCTTTCGGCTGATCACCATCACTCCACCCCGGAAGCCACCCGATTTCATCAATACGGGACGGGAGCCTATGGCGATACGCGGTATCGATATAGCTTTCGGATGCGCTACCTATTGAAGCTTGGGTGTAAAGAGGTACGAACTGTCTTTTGCATCCATGGCTGCTGCCAGGGCGGGTCATACCATAGAACCCCTAGACTTACGAGACTATGGAACATGTAGAGCTGCGATTGCACGGTCTCCAATTGAAAACCCCACCAGGGTTTGTATCACGCAAAAGAGGCTCCTGACAACGCTCAGCCCATCATGCCTCCGCTAAACGGCTTCTCAAACAACCCGTTCAAGACCCACGCCGACTTCAAAACCGCATCAATAGCACTCCTTCGCGCATTGAAGCCATACCAATCACCCCATGGCGCCCGAATCAAACTCCCATTATCAACCGGTACCCATTTCGACGATGTCGCCGCCCAGCTTGAAGGATACGCCCGGCCGCTATGGGCAGTCGGCGCGCTGATGCACTCGAACATCGTGTCTAAAGACGAGTACGAGGAGCTTATCAAACCATACGCCATAGGCCTGGCCAACGGGACCAATCCAGAGCATGCGGAGTACTGGGGCCCAGTCGTACTACGCGATCAACGAATGGTGGAAATGGAGATCATCTCGTTCGCGCTACTATCAGCTCCAGAGACCATGTTCCATTCGCAGTCTGAAGAAGCGAAGAGGAATATCACAGAGTGGCTGGGAACTATCAATGGCAAAGACTTCCCCACGACAAATTGGCTGTGGTTTCGCGTCATGACTAATCTAGCATTGATCAAAGTATGCGGCGTACCCAAAGAGCATGTACTCGATGCGATGAAAGCAGATTTGGATCTCATGGAGCAGTTCTACCGAGGGCACGGCTGGGCAGCAGATGGTATCTGGAGCGATGAGGGACGACAGGCGGATTACTATTCCGGCAGCTTTGCAATCCAATTCTCGCAACTCATATATGCGAAGATGGCACAGGATCTGGATCCAGAGCGGTGCGAAAGGTTTCGGGGTAGAGCGAAGGCATTTGCAGTGTCTTTTTGGCGGTACTTCGACACGAACGGTATGTCGAATACCTACCGCAGACACCCAACACTGACTAATGCGCCCTAGGTGCCGCTATACCCTTCGGCCGCAGTCTAACATACCGTTTCGCTTTCGCTGGATTCTGGTCCGCCGTCGCTTTCGCAGACCTCGAGCTCCCGGAACCACTCAACGACTGGGGCGTGATCAAAGGACTCTTACTCCGACACTTCCGCTGGTGGAGCAAGAAAGACGACATGTTCAACATCGACGGCACTCTGACAATCGGCTTTACCTACCCCAACATGTACATGAGCGAAGACTACAACAGCCCGCAATCTCCTTACTGGGCTTTGAAATCTTTCCTAGCGCTAGGCCTGCGGGAAGACCACCCGTTCTGGACTGCGGAGGAGAAGCCTTTACCCAGTGCGGATGTGGCAGTTATGCCAATTAAACCAGCTATGCATATCCTCTGCAACCAGCCAAACCACCACTTCCTCCTCTCCATGGGCCAATTCTGTCCTTGGCCGCTCAAAGCAACGGAAGCCAAGTATGGAAAATACGCTTACTCCTCGCATTTTGGGTTTAGTGTGCCTACTGGTACGTTGATACAGCAAATCGCTCCAGACAGTACACTCGCAGTGAGTAAAGACGGCGGGGAGACATGGCGGGTACCATGGAAGGTCACGAACCACCGTTCTGCTACTGCACAACTGATGCGCAATGCCGAGTTCGAAGAAAACATACCGTGCTTGACAAGCACATGGAAGCCCTGGGCCGACGCCGATATCACG